GTCATCTCCCTCTCTGCGTGGCCTCCTGCTTGGCCTTTAGCCCCTGCGGGTTTGGCCATTGCAGGGGTAGGAGGAACGACACAGAGCTACTGAAGTCAACGACCTGTATTGGTAAAAAACGCAGAGGGGCAAACAGCTGCAGTTAGGCCCTATGTCAGGGCAGCTCCACTCAACCTCTGGGGGCGGGATGTGTTGGCAGCCTGGGGGGTACGGTTTGGGATGCATTTTTTATTTGGGCCACTGTGCTGAAGGGTGCACCATCTCCTACACTGCCCCTGCGGTGGCTAACAGATAAACCCATCGGGGAAAATCAGTGGCCCCTAACAGAAGAAAAGCTAGTCGCCCTTCGTGAATTGGTTCAGGAACAATGACAACAGGGACATACTGAGTTTTCTATTAGTCCCTGGAATTCCCTAGTCTTTGTAATTAAGAACAAATCAGGGAAATGGAGGCTGACTTTTATGATCTTAGACATACCTTCTGTAAAAGCTGGTAATGGACCTGCCTACGTCTCACAAAAACGAGGCAATTTTTACACCTGTGGGGCGTGTCACGTAAATTTGGTATTCCACATTCCCCAACTGGTCAAGCTATTGTTGAACGTGCTCATTGCACCTTGAAGCATGTTTTGGAAAAACAAAAAGGGGGGATGCATGGAGAAACTCCACAGGGCTGACTGGAAAAGGCTTTGTATACAATTAACCATCTTACAGTGCCACCAAATTCAAATAATCCTGTCAATTTGAATCATTTTCTCTCTTTACAGTCATCAGGCGAGACACACCTGCCCCGAGTGAAGGTCTGGGTATGGGATCTAACCACTAATAAGTGGGAAGGCCCGTGCGAGCTCATTACGTGGGTGCTCATTTCACCCTCCACAGGTCAGTCTCTTCCAGCACACCAGTATTTTCCCACTGATGCTACAAATATCAAGCAATCAGCTGGCTCAGAATGACCTTTCCAGTAGTCATAGCCTTGCCCTCATCCTACTTTTCCAACCAGTTGGCCTATTTTGACTCTGTCCCGATCATTTTCCAGCAGAACTTTGCGTGGAAAGCTCCCCTCCACTGCAGGTTAAATGTCCATCTGTCTACCCACCCCTTTGGGTTTCTTTCCTGTACATTCTGCCCTTGGAACCAGAGATCAGAGTCCACATGGGAACTGCAATAGATGTCTCCCAAATGCCAGGACTGTATGGAGACACAAAAAACCCCAAGGCTTTTTGCCTATCTTCCTGCTGTTCCTGTCTGAACTAACACAGGGAGGAGCACGTCCCTCTCCTTTTCCCTGGGGAGGGTGGGAAACCACTGTTAACATAGGATCACAGAATCATGGAATGTTTTAGGCTGGAAGGGACCTCTAGAGGTCATCTGGTCCAACCTCCCTCCACAAGTAGGGACATCTCTACCTAGGTCAGGTCATTCAGAAAATCATAGAATGGTTTTGACTGGAAGAGACCTTTTAAGATCACCAAGTCCAACTGTTAACCCAGCACTGCCAGGTCACCCCTAAACCATGTCCCTCAGCACCACTTCTCCCTGGCTTTTCAGTCCCTCCAGGGATGGGGACTCCACCACTGCCCTGGGCAGCCTGGGCCAGGTCTGGACAACCCTTCCTGGGAAGACATTTTTCATAACATCCAACAAAAGGTGTGTATAGAAGATTCGGTTCCTGCACTTGGACCCATTCCCTTCTTAATGCATCTTGTTTTTCTACGAAAGCACAGACTTTAAGTCTCAGGCCTTTCTCTCCTTCCCGTTGCCAACAGCAAAGGGCTGTTCACCGTCCCCCGAGGTGAACCAGCCAAGCACTTGGTGATGCTCTGAACGGCTCTGACCCCTCAGCATCCCCCTCCCAGCACCTCTCGCCTGAGCCTGTGGGCAAAGAGAAATCACTTCTTCCCCACCTGCGAGCACCCTGCAGCAGCTGTAGAGGGGCTCACCCTGGGCTACAAAAAGCTGGCAGGGGCATTAGGCTAACGCTGGCCACTGGCAACACGTACAGCTCTGTACCCACCAGCTCCCAGCACCCATGGAGCCTGGCCACCTGGTCACTGAAGCCTGGCCCGTCTGGCAAAGGAACAAAAGTAGCCACCCAGCCTTAACTGGCAGTGCACTTACTTTGCATGGGAGACACTGGGAGGTCAGCCTGCAAAAAGCTGGCAGGGGCATTAGGCTAACGCTGGCCACTGGCAACACGTACAGCTCTGTACCCACCAGCTCCCAGCACCCATGGAGCCTGGCCACCTGGTCACTGAAGCCTGGCCCGTCTGGCAAAGGAACAAAAGTAGCCACCCAGCCTTAACTGGCAGTGCACTTACTTTGCATGGGAGACACTGGGAGGTCAGCCTGCCAGAGGCAGTAGCCTGCCAGAGGCAGCCACGGCGGGAGTGGGGAAGGTATCAGCACGTCTTTGGCTTCCTGCCCTCGCAGGACACGTGAAGCCAGGAGCACCATGATGGAAGTGGCACCTCGTGAGCCTGGTGGGAAGATGAAGAGGGACTGCTAATGCCCGGGCGTGGTTTCTGCCCTTGCCTGCTGCTGAGGAGAGCTGTGCTGTGGCCCTGCTGCTGCGTGGGCGGGAGAGCCGAGTTCTGTCCCTGGAGAGGGCCGCACAGGCAGCCCTGGACCTCCCTCCCGGCTGCAGTGGCATCATCTGCTGTCTCACAGCTGCCTTTCTCAATGGCTTGGTAGATACCTTAATGAGAGCAGGAAAATCTAAATACATCAATTTGGGGGAATGAAAGAACAACTTCTGCCTTTGTTGGGCTTCCCTCCCCAGAGCCATGTGTTGTGTGGATATTGCAGTACAGCAGTTTTAGCCAGAAATGTTCTAAACCAACACCCCCTCACAGATGTTGGCTATACGTGAGACCTGTAGAGAGGGATTTCTCACCAGACTTCAAATCTGAGTAGTGAAACTATGAGCAGGGATGGGAGAAGGGGATGCTGGGATGGACACACGGGCATCTCCAGGGCCATGAAGCCAGCTGAATATGAGCCAGCATGTGCCCAGGTGGCCATTAGGAAGAACACTGGGAAAAATTTTTTCCCCAAAAGAGTTGTCCAGGCCTGGCCCAGGCTGCCCAGGGCAGTGGTGAAGTTCCCGTGCCTGGAGGGATTGAAAAGATGTGTAGATGTGGTGTTGAGGGACATGGTTTAGTGGTGACCTGGCAATGCTGGGCTAATGGTTGGAGGTGATGATCTTCAAGGTCTCTTCCAACCAAAAGGATTCAACGATCCTATGATTCCATGAAGCAGGCACCAGTGGCATCAGCCTTCTGCCAGGAGTGTGTGGACAGATAGGCAAAGTATTACTGCAGTCTGTTGTCTGAGAGACAAGCTGCACATAGTTTTAACCAAAACCAGGAGTCAGTGTGCAATACCCTACACACCACTGGGGCTTTACCTGCCCATCCACCTTGTTGACACTACAGTATTTCCCTCCTGGTGGCTTCTCATTGCCTTGGGTGTTGCTCCAGACATTAGGTGGCAGCAGATGAATAGTGGCTGGGCACAGCCAGATGACAAAGTCTTTGAAAGCTCCTCAAAGAGCCCAGGGTCCAGCGTATGGCTTCTGGATGTCCCAGCGAAGCCACTCCCTGTAGTGTTGAAATGCCTCTTGCCCGGGTTTTCTGTTTTTGGAGTGACATGTGTTGGCATCCTTGCAGCTTCCCTCTTCACTCTCCCCTCAGGGCATGTTTTCCTCAGCCCTTGAAGTCCATGTGGACAAGCCTGCAGGTGTCTGCTTGAAGGCGTGTGCGTGGAGATGTCTCAAGTGGCCAGGGCTCATCACTCTGGCAGAACCAGGTTCAGGCCAGCTGCAAAAGACAAACATGGCAACATTTCTCCACTTTTGTGCTTTAGCATGAAGTATAACTTGGAAACAGAAGGGAAAATGAAGGGTTTTTCCCTCCTCATCCGCAAGGAGTTTTTATTTGGACAGTGTCCTTGCAAAGCCTGAGCAGGATGAGTGGGCAGTACCTGGGACACGCTTTGTGACAAGCATTTATCGCTCGTGTCCCAGGCTGTCTCTTTGCAGGAAGCTGTGGCCATGTGCAGCTCAGCGGCTGTCATCTCAGTCCCCAACCCTGCAACCTGAAAACAGCAACTGTAAAATTATCCTTCTTGTGCTGGGGGCTCTAGAGCTGGATGCAATGTTCCAGGTGGGGTCTCGTGAGAGCCGAGTAGAGGGGGAAGTCATTCAGGGATCTCCTGAGAGCTCCCAGGATGGCCAAACCCAGAGGCTCGCCCAGCCCATACTGGGATGCAAGCACTGTGTTAGGCTGTGGGCTCCTCCAGGCTTCGTGCCCTGGTTTGCACCACCCAACATGGACATCCATCCTAGAGATGGGTGGCCAGCAGGCTCCTGCCCCTGCGCAGGCAGGGACAGCCCTGGCTGCAGCAGCATCCATCCGTCCCTCAGGGCGAACCCCAGGGGGTGGTCAGGGTGCACCACTCAGCAGCTGGGAATGAGCACGAGTGCCAAGGTTCTGGTAACTCAGAACTCGCCTTGCTGTCCTCCCGCAACCCCAGTAACTTGCTTCGCCAAAGGGATAATATACAGCAAAGTGCAGGGAAAACGTACGAGGGCAGCCTGTCCATTTATAGTGTCTGGTTTATTTTTCATATTAAATAACATGTAAAAAATAACTTATACAGGCAAATAGACATCATGTACTCTGTAATAAATAGCAGGTAAAAAAATAGATTTCTTTAAAAACACTCAGTGTTTTGAAAACCAGCAAACCCCAAGATTTCCAATAAATACATTCAACCCCACTGAGCAGCATCGGTCAGGATCAGCATTTCTTTACCTCCTCCTGAGCCATTTATAAATAAACAATAAACCAAATAATTTACAAGATCATAAAGAAATAAACTGCTCCCCGAGTTCACATAAACAAGAAACAGTCTCAAGCAGTAGATAGAGTCCAGTGGGGCAGCAGGAGTCCCTTTTCCCGGTCGCCGGGCACCCCAGGGCCGTGCTGCCGGCGGGGGCTAAGCGCACTGCTCCCGGAGAGCCGCGCACTGCAGGTCGCTCAGCACTTGGAAGAGGTTGAGGATGGTGGAGGCCTCCAGGCAGCCCGTGGTCTCCTGCGGTGGGGAGAAGGGACGGGCTAGCACCAGGAACGGGGTGCGGTGGGTGGGCCCTGTGTGGGCACTAACACCCTGATATCCCTCGCCCTAATGGTCTGACTTACTGTTTTCTTGGCCGCCTGCAGCTTCTGCCGCCAGTGCC